CTCCACAAGTGGGCGTGGGATCAGCCTGTTTCACATTTCCTTTCCTCCCACCTGTCTTAATGTGACTTCTTTATATCTTTAGTTATAGGAGTTCTGTAGAGCTAGTCTTTAGATGGTTCCTCAGGTTGATTTTTCTATAATTTTGTTGTGGTCATGGAAGGAGGTGAGCAGAGTGTTTACCTACTCTGTGATCTTGACCAGAACGTAGCCATTATTTCTTTAAATATGTTGTCTGACATTTTCTCTCTCTTCCTTCTTGGATCCCTCTAATGCAAATATTGATCTGCTTGATGTTGTCCTTTAGGTGTCTTAAGTTATCTTTATTTAAAAATTCTTTTTTTTTTTAATTTTCTGCTCTGATTGGAAAAATTCCAATGTTCCATCTTAGAGTTTAGTAGGCCTTTCTTCTGTATTCTCCAGTTTGCTGTTGTACCCGTCTAATGTATTATTATTATTATTATTATTATTATTATTATTATTTTAGTTCAGGAATTGTATTCTTTAGTTCTGTGGCTTCTATTTGTTACTTCCTTTTTTTCTGACTCTGTTGAAGTTCTCACTGTGTTCATCTATCCTTCTGGGGTGCTCAGCAAGCAACTTTAAGGCCGTTTTTTTTTTTTTTTAACTCTTATCAGGTAAATCACTTTTTTTGAGTTTTTGTTTGTTTTATTGGAACATATTCCTTTCTTTCTTCTTTTGTTTGGCTCTCTGTTTTGGTTTTTACGTATTAGTAAAACAGCCACCTCTCCCACTCTTGATGTAGTGGCCTTTGTAGGAGATCAACCTTATTATTCAACACTGCCCTAGCTCTTTGCTATCTCTCAAATGTGTGTGGCTGTCCAAACAGCCCTTTTTATTTTTAGCAGATTGCAGTAGTTAAGGGTGTCGGTGTCCTAAAGGGATGTATCTTGGTCAGCACCTAGATTCAGACTGATTGGAAGCCAGGTTCTCAGGTAGCAGCTTTTAAAGTATGAAAATATATACAGACTTGTGAGACTATAAGCATAAGTCCTGTAGACCACAAGATCTATGCAATTTATAGGTGGCTCTTGGGCAGTAGTTGCAAAAACTGGGGCACAAGATAAGTATAGAAGGTCTTTTCTTATAGCCTAGAGTGAGGCAAAAGGAAAGTCCAAAATGGCATCCTGAGGTCTCTGTCCCTGAAGTGCACCATTGTTGGCTTCTAGGTGTGTGCCAAACCAGAATGTTGACCCTAAGGTTGAAACTTCAGGAGAAGCAAATAGGTCTCTTTCACAGAAAGACTGGTAGTGAGTTCCAGTTTGTTGCCTGCACTGTGCTCCAGTGGTGGTAGCTTACCAAGAAATATTTTTCCATTTGTTACTGTCCCATTTGACCCAGGAATGCAAGCCCTGCTGGCCACCAGAGCTAGATGATCAAGGAGAACCTAGGGTAGCAGCCACAAAAACTGAGGCATCAGGTGTATAAAACAGGGCCTCAGATACATGTTCGAGCCCCCTCTGAGAGATACTGGTGCTCTGGAGCATGTCAGAGGGAGAGAGCAAAGGCAGCGCCTGCCCTCTCAGGTTTCTGAAGGGCATTACAATGGGCCCTTAGATGTGTGTCTAATTAGAAGCCTGCCCCTCAGGCGCAGCTATGAAGATAAGCTAATAAGCCTTCTTCATACAAATGTTTGGTGCCTCAGTCTATTGCCTCTTTCTGTGCTTTGGGGGTGGTAGTTATTTGGCAACTTTTTCTCCATTGGTTATAGTCCTGTGGGACCCTTGAGCATAAACCCCGTTGGCCACTAGAGCCAGGTAATTTAGAGGTGTTACCTAGGCAAGAGATGCAAAAATTGGAGAGACAGAGGGCAGGGGGAGAGTACAAAAATGGGCCCACCAGTCTATGTCCTTGGGAGTACCCCAGCACACCTCTAGTGTGTGTTAAATTAGATTCCTGCCCCTCTGGCTGACGCTTTCAGGTAAGAAAATAAGCCTCTTTTACATAAAGTCTGGGTGCCTCTCAATGAGCTGCCTCTGCACTGCTCCCTGAAGTGAGTGAGTCTGAGCCCACAAGTTCTTTAAGAGCTATTTCTCAGTTTGCGATAGCTTTGTGGGTCTCATGGACATGAATAACATTGGTTTTCAAAGCTAAATGTTTTGGGGCTTATTTCTCAGGTGCAGGTCTTAAAAGTTGGCGCTTAACCCTTGCGTTTTAACTCTTCACTCTACAGAAAGAAGCTCTAGGGTGTGTGCTCCCTCCCAATTGTGGGTTGTCGTTCCCAAGGTGAGGTTTATAATGATAACATCTCTCAGCCTTTACCTACTCACGTCAGTGTGTTTTTTTCTTTCTCATTTTCCTAATGTGTAGGGATTGTTCAGCTAGTTTTTAGCGTTTTCTTTCAGAGAAAGTTATTCCATATGTAGCTTTAGATTTGTGGGGTGAGGTTAGTTCAGGACCTTCTTACATTGCCAACTTGAACCAAAACCTGTACTTTTTCTTTTAGTTAATGGCACGGATAATATCTACCTCGTATATTAAGCCAGAAGCCTCAGGGTCATCCTTGATTTCTAGTAATCACTTTCTTTAGAATCTTATTCATTTACTATTATCTACCTTCTAAAGTGAACTATCATGTCTCCTCTACTCTTCTCCACTACTGTGGTATCTTTAATTTGGGCATATAACTGCTGGGTAACCATAACAACTTCCTAGTGCTTGTTTTCACTATTGCCTCATTTTAGTCCATTACCCATATTACCATTTAAGTGATCTTTCAAAATGTATATCTGGTCAAACTTCTTTGCTTAAATTGCATCAAGACTTTTTCATAGCTGGAGAATAGAATACAGACTTCTAAAGCATTTCACACAACTGTCGTGACATCAGCCTTGGGCCCCTTCTTTTCTTCCAATCTGTAGTCACCTGTACGAATGGCTTTGGAGTTCTGTAAATATGCTGTGTCCTGCTATTACCTCTGTTTGCATTTGCTGCTGCCTCTGTTCAGAACGAACTTCTTCCACTTCTGCCCTGCATAACTCTTACATCCCCTATATGTCTCAGCATCGACATCATTTCTTCTAGTGGGCCTTCTTGGAACATATGAATCCTTGCCTCCAATTTGGGATAACTGCCCCTCGGCTGTGCTTTCACAATAGTTTGTATGGAATCTCTATATTTATACTTATTGGATTTTGTAATTGTCTTCTTGGTAGGATATTGTTTGAAATGTTAATCCAGATTTTCTCCCAACACCTGTCTTTCTTATCTTGTCTATACTCTTTGCCTTTCTTCCATTCACTCAGTAGAATTGCTTAAAGGGAGATAATCCATTAAAAAATAGAGAATATAAATTTTAGTTGAAATTGCCTGAGATTTGGAATTTAAAAAACAAGAAAATCTAGTGCTGAAGGACTTGGGGCATAAACAATAGGTGAGGCAGAAAAGTTGGACAGCCGGACTGCCTCCACAGCAAACTAAAGATGCTTTGTACTTGGTGGGTATGGGGTGATGTGAGAAGAGAGTTAGAGGAGAAATAAAATAACCAAGGGGCTGAGTGTTCCTGAAAAGTGTCCAAAGACCAGAGCCTGCTGTGTGGCCTTTTATTTAGAAGGGGTCTTTTTTAAAGTTTAATAAGAAGCCTGGGAGAGGATGAGTATCTTCTGAGGGTGACAGATGTATTCTTTCCACGTCTACCTTAATGCTATTGAGAAAACAATAGCCACATAGTAGCTTCATTTTTTAAATTAATTCAAAGCTAGAGGGTTATTCCTAAGGATGAGGGTAGAGGGGGATTCTTGCTAAAATCAGTTGGAACTGCTTTGGTCACAGGAACCTCAGAATGACCAGGACATGTGTGTAGTCCCTCTGAGGTCTTGCCTCAGGCCAGATTCTTTATCTGTTTATCTCAGTTTATCAGTTTATTGTCTCACAAAATTTGTTTTTTAATATTTCACGGGAGATTTTTTTGTGTGTGCGTGAGTTGTTTCAGACTGAAACAAAGCTCTAGTTTTCAACTATTTATTAGATGCAAACATTAGGGAATATTAAATTTTAAACTTTGGTAATTTATTAATATTAACTTATACATTTTCCTCTATCCCAATTGTATGAGTTCATTGAGGGTTAGGACACTATGCATTTTTATGTATGTGAGACATTAGCATATAGAAGACATTCTGTAAATGTTTGTTGACAATATCACTGAAAGTCCCTTAATGTATTATTTTTCCCTTGATTTTGATTCTTTGCATGCTACCTGCTTTGTCTTCTCAGCTAGGTGACCCTCCTGTCACTGATTCAGCTCAGGAAGCTTTTTTGACCCATGTGGAACTGTGCGGATATTTCTGAGACCATCTTACTTGGGTTATTTTTAGTGCAAAGTCCTGAAAATGGCCCTTAGAGGTATATTTGGAAGCAAATATTCAGTAGAAATAGATAGAGCTGGTGGCACAATTAGAACACTAAAGGATCTCAAAATTTGTGGGGAATCTGCTGTGATACAAACAGATTGATAGCTGGGTGCTTCACCATACCCTAAGGTCCAAGACCAAGGCAAGTCTGTGCATCATCTGAAGCATCATTGCATCACACATCATGTGTTAAATGAAGCTCACACCACTCACACATCCCATTCACATGTCCCTGCTGAATGCTGCTTTCCCAGGCTGTGCCAGTAGGGTCCCAAAATGAGCATTGGACCTTGCACTTCATATACAGAGATATATGGTCTTTTGTTAGCCGAGGGGACTTTTTAATACCTTAGCAGCCATTCTTGATCCTACGACTAAGAGCTTTGTGAATGAAGCCAGGTGTAAAAAGTTACCTACCTTAAAAGATTATAAAGTGTTGGGGTTTACGCCAATGCCCAAATCCAAATTCACGTGTTGGAAACCCTTATTCCTAAATAAAAATGTCTCTAGTTTAAGCTCAGCATTTGTGCCTAAAGAGGAAGGTAACAAGAAACAGAAATAGGCATCCTAGGACCAAAATTAATACACATTGAAGGGAGATGAAAAAATGATCAGACTAAGGCAGAGAAATTCAGGAATATAGTCTCTTAGATATTTATTGTAATCTCCAAAAAATAAAACAAGATAAACCGAAAGAACAAAAACCACTTTCTATACAGAATTCACATACAAACTGAATACCTAATAGAGCACATACAGTTTTTACACAATTTCAATAAAGAGAATTAAAACTTCACAATGTGAATACACTTTATAGCTTTAAACCCAGACAAGAGCTCCTGTGGACGTATGAAGAGTCACGATATTTGCTGCGCAGCAGTAGTTTTCGACTACACATCACGATCACTATATGAAAGCATTAAGCTGTTACTCAATATTTTCTCAAGAAGAGCTCCACAGAGCAGTCACCAAGAAAGGGAGAAAAGTGCCGGGTTACAAAGGAAGGTGTTCATCTGTGCACTTCCCAACACCCTTTATGGGAACATCGAACCACAGGAACATTTCTGGGTACACATCTGCCTGGCTGACATTGGCTTAAACAATGTCTTGTGGTTTGGCGCATGGGCAAAATGTCTAAATTAACTTTTCTAATGTGGCTTTACAGCAATTTGTGTTTGGCCAAATCTGGGGCTGCTCAGCACAGAGAAATAGGATGATGCTGCAGCTTGTCAGCCTCATGGGGACAAAAAGAGAGAAGCAAACTGGGATAATTTGATGAGTTTCAGAAGAACAGTTTGGTTCTCTGGAGAAAAATAATGATTTGTAGCTGGCAGCTCTGTCACCCTGCCATTCACAGGTAACATAATGTGATCTTTCCCACTTATTTGCTTGGCACAATCTCCTCATATCTAATTCTTCCTGGCATCACCTCTGACCTCTTCAATGGAGCCATTCGTTGCTTTTCCAGTTCCTATGCATCCCCCATTTCTGTGCTCTTACATCCTGACATCACTTAGCATATAGATTGTATCCTGGCTTTTCTCCTCCCTGCTTCAGTGATTACACACATTAGGGGCTGAAGCCATACCTCTTCCATGTTTAATTCCCACAGCACTGAGCACGTGGTAGTCAATAACTGTGTAATGACTAACTAAATATTTAAACACACTCTTAAATTATTATTCTAATGTTGGCTACCTGCATATATATATATATATATATATATATATATATATATATTTAATTTGGCACAAAGTCATCTCTGATCTCCCTGTTTCATCCACCTTCACCTGACTTCTTCAGTGGATTTGAGAGCGGAGTACCAAGTTCAGGCTATCACAGTTAAAATAGGGGCATGCACCACTGGTGGTAGCCCAAAGCCATTTAATACGACTGGCACATCATGTTAATTTCAGGCAACTGCCATAGAGGGTACTGAGGGCTTCATCTGATGTACAGATGGCAACGGCATCTAAAAGCAACTGCTTGCTCTTCATCATTTAGAGTGAACAACTCATAACTATTCTTTCTAAGGGTATCATGATTTCCTCTGCTAACTAAATGAAAGGGCAAAGCACAATGCTTGTATTAAAATAAATGTTTTGCCTTAAAACTTGAAATGACACGAGTTTAAGGTAGTTGACCTACTTTAAACTTCATATACATAAACTCACAGTTTTGGGTAATCCAGCAACAGGGCCTAATTTCTTGATTTTGTATCTCAGTGAAGTTCTAGGCCACCAACTGTGAGATTAACAAGGGGGGGTCGAGGGTGAATATATGAGTTTCTGATGACATACCAAAGTGAGTCAAGATTCTGACTTTTGTTTCTCTTCTATCACTGGTGTGGACAATTGAGAATTGAAGTGAATATAACATTAGCTACAACCTAAAAAGACATCAATATTTCAGGATTCCCAGGGTTGACAGTATTAAATTTGCAAACAAAATACAAGGCTGAGTTACAATAAAAAATACATGCAAATACAAGAGTTGAAAATTCTTAGTAGACAGAACATGTGATCAACATGTCGGAGAAGAATAAAAATGACTTTTCCTTAGGTGCATACATTTTCTTAGGTATCTAAATTGGCCTCTAAAAGAGGCTAAAGGAGAATTTAGACAAAGAAATCCTATATAAAATAAACTAACAGCCATTCTATCTTGAAAACAAAATCCACAATTCTAAAAGGCAAAATTGACATATATTCGCAGATACTAAATGTTTGGTCTTATAGGGAAAAAGTACTTTGAATTAGGCACAGAAGAGTTTCACATGACACCAATAAGGTATTTACTGTATAAATTGCACCACTAGACAAATACAGCTACAAGAAATAATTTGAAGAAGTCACAGCCACCCAAAGCATCTCATACATTCATTATAATTCACTCTTTCATACTAGTTTATATACACTGAGTAAGTCATTAAATATTGCACTTATTGGCCCATGAACCCTCAATTCTGAGGTGTTGAAAAATAGAAAACAAATCTATTTTTATAACATATTTCATGCAACATTTAAGACATTTCAGTTCCACAAACACCATTAAATAGTTGTACATTTGGACAGTCCAACGGTATCACATCACATCTGACATTAACAATATATTAACAGGAATTACAGGAAGTTTTCATTCAGCACACATCCTAGGGCTGATGAGACAATACATGGAGAACCGTCATACTGATGCAGCAAACAATCCCTAGACTTCACTTTTATGAGGAGTATGGAACCACTAGACAGATTAAATCATGCTCACTTCCCTGAAAGGCCAGGTGTCTGTGTGGCTCATGTACCGTCTGTTTTTAAGAAGCGCATTCATGAACCGTACCAATGCCTGGCCCCCAAAAATGTTTCCATTAAGAAAAGTCACAGCCAACTCTCAATTGTCCACGATGAAGGAAAGTATGAACACAGGTAAGTGAAATACACAGGTAACCCCCAACCTCACTTCAGGGAGTAGTGACTGGTTGAAACTCCACCAATGACAGTGTCGATGGGAGGTAAATGGTGAAATTTGAGTGTCATTTCCTATTCTTGGTCCTGTCATTCTGTGAGAATAGTACTTTAAAACACTGAAATTATAAAAAATCAGGAAGTAGAAAAGAGAACTGCAGATGGAAAATTTGTCCACTAGCTAGATGGTCTGATCTTAATACTTGAGCTCTGACAGAGGTTTTGAAATAATTTTTGTCTAGAATGCTTGCAAAATGCATTTTCTCCCTATCCTCTCTTTTTAATGGGAATTATGTGCACAAACACACAAATCAGTGAGAAGAATCTATTTCGCAGAACTTTTTAAACAAAATCTATGTTACATTTCAAAGATAGATAAAGCTCCCTTTTCCCTAGCACTGAGAAAGCACCGTATATGGAAGTTTTCCTTCATAAAAAAGTTATCCGTGTGTGCACGTGTATATGTGTTGGGAGGGGCAACACTATGTGTATGGCCCAAATGTAAATATTTTCATCTATCAAAGGGAAATATTATTTGGAGTGACAAGCATTTCTGTAAAGGTTTTCAAGAAGAAAAATCTATATTTATTTACGAAATACCAATAAATATTGGGTTGTTGGGAAAGTCATGACGCATTTTTGCAACCAAAAAACAGATAAAATACATCATGACTTTTCCGACAACCCGATGGATAGAGTTTAGATAAATCCCCGAGACCTGTTTTTGCCCCTTTGGGGGAGATTGCATTTCTAGAACCTGGAGCCCTTTAGGTGCACTGTAGGGATAAAGATGCTTTCTTTCTGGTCATCAACTTCATCTTTTACCCAATTTGTTTGAATTCATTCCAGAATATAAACTAGATTTATGTCTTAAACTGGCTTTGGTAAAAAGTCACCTAAAAGATAAAGGACTCTAAAAAGCTGACCCTAATGGTTCAGCTGATCAGCAAGACGTCAGCATTTTACTGGTAAACTCCTAAAGCACAGAAAGCATACACAAACAGGCAAGGCTAAGCAGAGCTGTAGAGGTTGCATCTTCCGGTGGCAGATTAGAAGGGCCGCAGGGGTCTAGCTGCTCATGTGGCACCCTGACATAGCACACTGAGTATATATATGCACAAAGGAACGAAGAGTTCCAGTCATGCAAACTATAATGTAGACAGAGGATTCTTTACAGAAAGACAGGCCACCTCCCAATATGCCACCAAATAGCTACTGAGCATTCCCATAGTACGTGAAAATTATGAACAAACACTTTTTGGTTTAGAAAGGTCTTAGTCGTAACTTTAAAACAAGATTTATCTCAGGTTTTCACATGCAGCTACTACCTCAGCCTTGAGTCGCTTGGTAGAGTCTGGATACATTTTTCTATAGCCCCACAAATGCCACACGCTAGTCTGAAGGGTGGCCTAGGACATCGTCACCAAGCACTAACATACACATTGGATAAACTATGTTAACAATGAGCCAGCTCCCGTGCTCCAAAATCAGTGTTGCTTCATGGAAGTTCAACTAATAGTGGACTGTATTTTACTCTTTAAAAAGAATATTGCGTACCTGAAAGTCTATTCTCAGCATAGGTGTAGTAAAAATTGGAAGTTTGAAGTGGTTCCTGAAAAATAGCCAATCTGATGAACAAAAAAATACCTATACCTCTAGATGAGAGTTAAGTAGGTGAATGAAATGTGTGTTTGTTTCTTGAATATATAGATGTGTTGTATAATTTGGGTTGTAGTTTTGTAGAATTTATACTTCATATGTGTGATAACAATGCTGCAACTTCCTGCTACAACTGAAGGCATCATCATGCTTTCCCTTCCAAATAAAGATCTTGGCGCTTATTTACCAGGCAGCAAAGGGACATTGACTTCAAGTGGATCTAAGGAGGAGCTATAAGAACCGCTTTGATCATCCAGTCTTTAGACGTTCATCAAGGCCACCGAAGATGTTGAGTGAAAGCAGCAGCTCTGAATGAAGTCACTGTCCTGAAGCCATTCTTAGCCTGTAGGTGTTAGGCTAGCTTGTAAACTGCCACTTGGAGACTTAAGAAACTTCAGGTACCTTCTACATCCATTCCCATCCCAAAAACCTGAAATGCGGATCCGCCCCGTGGATGGCTATTTGATGAAATAATTTCCAGTCCAAGGTTTCAGTGATATTAGAATCAGAAAGAAATGTACCGGAAACCAAAGTTCTTGGAAGTATTTCCTCAAAACAATCTATTAGTAATTCTATTAGTAATTGGAGGGGTGGGGCTGCTAAGGTGATAGGTGGCAGAGGATAAGAAATTCATACTTGAAACACTAATTGAATGACATCAAAGACAAAAAGATGGAGGTCTAAGATTTATAAACTGACAAGCATACGTTTTTAAGGTGGCTTGTTCTTTTGAATACACATTTAGTTATGCGATTAGTAAAAATAACCTGTTATTTAAGCAGCTGGCAGGTGCAAAAAATGTAGGAGGTATTGTGTGTGTGTGTGTGTGTGTGTGTGTGCACACGCGTGCATGCATGCGCACATGCCCAAGGCTGAAAAACCTTGGCCCCGCAGTTATAATTTGTAAGTAATATAACTTGATGCCAATAAATAGAAGCTCACTTAGTCAACCCATGACTGGTTCCTCTTTTGCCAAATTTGATTTTAAAACCAGAATCTCTTGACGAAATTAGGAATAGAGAATATTCTCTCTTGCCACATGCTTCACAGCAGAAACATAGGTGTTCATTCACTTGAGCTCTGTGGCAATCCTCTCTGGAAACTTCTCACTTGATGAAATTCACACCAGGTGGGAGTTTCAAAACTGAGACTCAATTAGGAAGGCACCATTACCACTGAGGTTTGGAAAAGAGAAATTATACAATGTTCCTTGGCCATGATACTCAGGCTGTTGCTTCATCACGCTCCCCTGACTGGCATGAAGTAGTTTGACTTTGGCATGTGTGACACTGGATAAGTGGGCACTTGGCTTATTTCTTCCTTAGGGCCAATGAATTTCAATAGCAATCAGTTATTCAGGGGAAAAGTTCACAAGAGCAAAACTCAACTCTTTTCCTTCCACTTTTCTACCCTCATTTTGCTTTCCATTTTACAATAATACACATTAAGGTCCTTCTGAAAAAGCCATCTGGAACGTCTTATTTAGGTTTTGACATCGGTAAGGATGTGCGGGAAGGGAGCTGGCTTTATTGTTTCATATTAGATTATAAAAGTAAGCTTAACAGTTACATCATTTAACATGGCCACTTCCTAGTCCAGGTTATAGAAATGTTACAATAGCATGCAAATAGGCTTTTGTTGCAAACAAATCACTTTGATGCCCCCCCCACCACCATCTTTCTTTCCAGTCACTCTAATTTCTGTGATTTTGAAGCTGGTGGCCCCATTAAATCTAATAAAGCATTAATGTTGTCTTCACTAAGCTAAGGCCTGCCTTGCAGGGTGCTTAAGTGAAAATTTATTAATAATTAATGGATCTTAAGCTAAGAATGTGAGAAAGAATATGGATATGCTTAAAACATCCCAAATGCTCTTATCATTTTCATCTTCTTACTAATAATGCATGTGACTTAGTTCCCTGACTTTAGGCATTTTATTCCCCAGAGATCTCTTTAGGCATATGCACGTTTCCCTGTCAATATCCTTGCCCAATAAACTTGCACCACATTCTTACTCTCATGGGAATGCTCTCTATTTTTGAAAAGAGGGAAGCATGTTTAATATGAGCACCCAAGAAGCGGAGATTCACCTAACAGTACTGTCATTCTAAGCCTGCCACTCAGCGCCTGCTGCCTTCTGCAAGTCTTAGCTGTAAGCAATACTGGGTGGTGACACTGGTTCCTAGTTTTCCTTTAGTGCTGTCAGAATAGATGGTGGCATTTGTTTGCTCGTTATTCATCTATGGTCTTCGGGAAACCTGGGAGACAGGATCAAGCTGTTCACATGGTTTCCTTCCTCCTCTCAAGTTGCTGATGGCCTACTCAAGTGTTTCTGTAACTCCCAGCTCCCACGGGTATATTCTCTGAGTAACTGAGACATGTTTAAAGGCTTACAGAATGGAGGTGTGCTTTAGAATTAGGTTAAACACTCAGTTGAAAAAGATCAGAGATGAAAATCCTTGTCTTCAACCTGGGAGCCATTGAGATACTGTTTAAACAACATCTAATTAGGTAAAAGAACTTAGCTGGGGTGTGAACAGAGGCAATGGCTGGGGGAAGCCTATATCCTATAAGAGGGACTCTAAATGCTTCAACTTAACCTCTGTTCCAAGAGGTGGTGATGGTCCCAGGAAGTTGTGGTGATGGTGGTGTATGGTATGGCATCTACTTATTAAGGAAACGGGGGGAGCTCAGGCCTTGGCATTCGACAGCCACTCATACTGTTGTTGGTCAAAATGCTTGTTGCATAACATTCAGCAGATACCTCTCAGTTCGTCAGTGCCCTCAAATATTCAGAATGTTTGGTAGAATCAGTGGAAAGAGCAGTCCTGGGTTAGGGTAGTCCTTATTTAAACATATAAACGAAAAGAGATTAAATCCAGTTCCTTTCAGGTAAATAGTAACCTCTTGGAAACTTGCAAGGGCCTTGAACACAATATTTCAATTTCTGTCTAGTCAATGATACCCTCAGTTAGTGATAACACTGAAAAATAGGCACATTTCCTGAATAGTAAACTGACCAGAAAACTGGTCATTTATTCAGGAAATATGACTAATGTTTCCACTTGAGTTTCCATTAAGAGTAAAGCAAATAAGGTCTCCTGAGACCTCCCACTGTCTTCCCCGCCCCAACACAAAGGAATCCTTGGTTATCATCCCTACAGGTGAATCACGTAATTTGAACCAGTGGCACAAAAGTTAGTTGTAGTGAAATAGTCTGAAATCCCAGCAGTAGCTTGATCTGAGAAGAAATCTGAAACATAAAGAGCCTAGAAGACAAATAACAAATCACATGCAAATACCAGGTATGTATACATGGATAGTCTTTACAAATTTAAGATCATATATTTGCCACATATTAACAGAGGGACTCTCCCCAGAATTCAATGCATATACTAGCCATTGACATCTAAGATTTCCCTCTAGTAACTATTAGGCAGTCTGAACGAAGGCTCCTTGACCATTAACAAATGCTGTGTGTTGGTAACCAAGCCCCCTAGAGCTAGCTGCCTGCGTGTGTGTGAGGACATTAACAGCCACAGCTGGGCTGTGGAGATGGAGGGGTTTCCTTGAGTCTTGTGTTCTGCTTTGCAGCAGTGATGGCCGGATCGGTCTCCAAACTCTCTGACATTTTGTCACAGATGATATCCACAAGGCGCTCAAATGTCTGCTTGACATTAATGTTATCCTTGGCACTTGTTTCAAAAAACTCAAACCCTGGAAGAAACACAGAGAAACACAGCTTGGTCATGTGTCATACTTCTACTGAAATGAAATGGGACTTGGTGATGGTATTGGATGCTGATGGAGTATGATGATGGGACAGTAGTGGGTGGTGGGTTTGGTTTGGGTGAGAGACGAGACGCAGGCATGAGATGGCATCTGAGCACATGCTACCATCTTGCTACCATTGACAAAAGTTATAACATGGAATTGGTGATGCTCACATGCTATTTTTCTGTTGATTCATTTATGCTATCAGCATGGCTCAAGATACGAAAACCAATCATTTGGCAAGAGTTAGTCATGGCAGCATTAAGAATCCTCAACACTGAATCTGTCTTTGCCATCCTTTCCCTCAACCCCTGGCCCACCATATTGCCCCTTGCAAACTTCTCTAGGACTGGTGTTACTTGGCAGTTTTTATTTCCCCATTATGGATTCTACCAGAATGATTTTCTTTTTTTTTTTTAATTAACTTGAAGCTTAGGAGACTTCATGTGCATATATTCTGCGGCAAAAGGGATCACCAAACTCCAACATAATCCAGCTCTAACATTTTCCATGTCTGCCCTGCTGCTGCCCAAATGAAAGGTCCGAGGGTGGGCTTTTGGTAAATCTCCGGTATCTAAAGGTGGACACAAGGTGGCACTAAAGCATCACTGGATTTACCTTAAACGAGCTTTAACCTCCTTTAGGAAATTTTGAGTGGTGTTAGTTTAACAGCCCTCCAGGGCTTTGTATAACATTGTATCTATTGGTGGTGTGGTGATTTTTTGGTAGCTTCTGTTATCTATCAGCAGCAATATTTTTACCAACATTGGGAAAGGACACTTTGATAAATTTCAAATGAGGTGCTAGAATTGCAAGAAGGTATTTAAAAAAAATGCAGTGACAGTTTCACACTTCTGCTTATGTGTCACTGTACCTGGACACACAAGAGAAAGCAGCTTTTAGTATGCTGCTCTGTACACATTCTTATCACTCCATTGTTTGCATGCACATTCCACTGGCTGGGCTTGCCAGTCAGTTACCATGACAACCGCCCCGCTAGGCCAGCCAAGATTGCTCTGGTCCGTTCAAAGGACTTTGATTTAGGAGGTATTGGGCTGAACACAGAAATACTTTCCTAATCCATTCTGAATTTTACACCCTATAAATCCTTCTGGTTACATCTGGCCCTATCTCAGAGGAGCCACTTAGATTCAGAATGATTAAATCATGTGATTTCTATCCCAGCTCTGGGACCAAAGGAGAGTGGGCTAACATTTTCCATCGCATCCATGTCGAAATCCCTTTGATAACCCAGAAATACTTATTTTCTAAAGCAGTATTGAAGGGCAGTATTGAAGGGCAGACAACAAAAAGCAATTCTCGTGGGTTAAAATGTCTAATTTAGTTGTCATACTGTATGTTTCGTTAGATGGCTTTATCTGAGCTTGAATTTCACTGGCTACTCTGTATCCTAATGTTAAAATCTAAGTGAATAATTGCAGGATTTGAGCTGAAGGAACATGAGCAGAGCCAGGCTATAATGATAGATATTTTAAACCCTTTTAGGCTTGTATTTGTCTTTGATTTCTCTCTCTGGGTAGTGCTTATATGGTTCTCTTACATTCTGCATTTCTTTACAGAAATTAACAGCACTTTTTTCTAATGTTTGTACAGTACAGGGCTAAATCATTCACCTTGCAGAATCAGAGTTTGGAAAAGGCAGTATGAATCTAAGCAATATCCTTATTGATAAGATGTCAGAACTATCTGCAGTGGAGATTTTTCCAATGCTAACGAGAGGGTGCTTTATGTCACAGGATATCAAGACCCCACTGAAGAAGTCCAAATCCTTGGCTAAGACTTGAGAAAAGAAATCCCTAAATTTTGCACAAAAGTTTCACTCACAGGTTCAATTGTCCTGTCTCTTCTGCAAACTAACATGTCTTTTACTTATTAGCATGATTTGGGAAGGCACTGAACTTGGTATCATAAAAGATTTAGCCACTGTGAAAATACGGTGATACACACAAGGCTTTGTCAAACATGACTCTCTTTATCTGGGCTTTGAGACACTCCACGATGCTGGGATACAATTTGAGGTCAGTAAAATGTCCTTGATCACAAGAGCCATAGATGCTCAGTCTCTTGACCTTATTTAACCTGGAACCCCAGGAAGATATGGCTATTAAAGTGATAGTGTCTCAGAAAAAGAACACCATATTATAAGAGCCCGCCATTTATCCAGCATTGCTGGAGAAGGAGGTACCATGATATAGTGAGAGGAATGGATTGTCAATCAAAAGATGTGAGATCTAGCCACACTAGTAATACTTACTAGCTTTGAGATCATAGGCAAGTCATATTTTTATTCTAATGTTTATGACATTTGCCCCGCTTAGCTTCCAGGGCTATCATGATGCTCAAATGAGAAAAAAATGTATATAAAGCACCAAGCAAATCAGAAATGCTGTGATAACAACAGTAATAATAAACTATCATTTGAGCAGTTGCTATATAACAGGTACGATTCAAAACACTTTATACATTTTAACTCATTTTATCCATGAGGTAGGTGAGAGTATTTTTTCCAATTTACTCATCAGGATGGCCGAGCACTTTGCTCAAGCATTTACTTGTTCAGCCAGTAATGGCAAAGCTAGCATCCGAGCTATTAACCTGGATACTCTCCTGCCCCTCCAGATTCCCTGAAGTATGGTACTATCTGGTTCCAGTGGAATTGGAAATTCTATGTTAATTAATAATCACAATATATATTATAAACTTCCGATAATATAAATAGAAAGTAAGTAGATTTAACACTGTCAGTGAACAAACGGATCATCTTTTCTAAATGATTCCAAAGGTACTCTGATATCTTGTGCTTCTTAAGATTCATATAGGTGGCTTTCAGCTGTATCTCTATACAGAATTATACATGGTTGACCCTTGAACAATGCTGGGGTTAGAAGCACTGACCCCTGTGCAGTCAGAAATCTGCATGTAACTTTTAACACCAAAACATAACTATAGTCATCCTCCCCAGTGGCTATGGAGTTTGATTCCAGGAACTTGCCCACCTCCACCACCCATAGATACCAAAACCCACAAATGCTCAAGTCCCTTAGATAAAATGGTGTAGAACAGGGGTCGGCAAAATGCAGCTCATGAGCCACATGCAGTTCTTTGGGTACATTCCATCTCAAAAGTTTGCCGACCCCTGGAAGAGCCAATCCTGTCCCTCACAACAATTTATACAATGTATATGGCCAGCCCTCTACACCTGAGGATTCTTAACCATAGATCGAAAATACTGTTTTTGATCCACAGTTGGTTGACTCTGTGGATGGGAAATGGAGGGCTGGATGTATAATTTATTGAAAAATATCTGCATAAGGGACCAACACAGTTCAAACCATGTTGTTCAAGGTGAGATCTGTATCTTCACTCAATCACCTGTGTGTGAGGCCACTCAAACCCCACACCAATGTGTGCCCAAATCATAACCATAAATCCAAACACTTTAGCCTTCTTCTTTTAAGTTATTGTTGTATTTTATGGCTGTTACCTCCCAGTATCTCAGTATTTTAACTTCTACTATAGCAAATGACCTTGTTCTTACAAATCTTGAACCTCCCATCCATACACATGAACATCAATGGGAAGCCAGCACTTCAGTCAGTGGTGCTTAGGAAACAGTCTTTCTTAAACTTTGAAACTCATGTCCAATTTACTAGGCAGGACAATATGGTTCAGCAGATTAAATAAGGAGCCCAAGGTCACACAGTTAGTCAACTGTAAAGGCTGTCAGAGATCTCCTGATAAACAAGTTACTGATTTAGCTTTCAGCCTCGGACACCTGTCTCTCAGACGACATCATCTGGTAATAATTTCAGCATTCACGTGTCTTCATCACCAAATCAGTTAACACTCTCAATTAGCCACAGAAACTCTGATCATCCTCTCTCATTCTTCTCTCATCAGAACCTTACTAATTTCTCTCTGACATAGACAGCACGGTTCCCAAGTAGGATGAGCCTTGTGCTGTGGACCAGTCCATTTCTGTTTTCAGCCTTTTCATGCCTGATCCTGGAAAGACCTATCCTACATTTTCCAAAAGCCATGATAGGTACTGCTGGATCTTAATCTATATATGGCCTTCTGTTTCAGTTTTACTTGATATTTGGGACTGGACAGAAGCTTGGAAAAATTTCCTATGGAAAATACATTAGTTATGCTGAGGGAAGAAACACATAGCTAACCTGTGTCCTCCTCATGTATGTATATTGCTGAAGTGGAAGCATGGAGAGTTGGTGTAAACCGGGCTTTAGTGCCTAGGAGATGTGATTCCACATCCTGACTTCACACCATTGGAGGTCTACTTGCATTAAAATCCCATAAAGTGTTTAAAAACCTCTAACCTCCACAAGCAACAGGCCTCAGAGTGTCCTGGCTTTTTGCAGAGCTACCGCAGACTCGGTACCGGCAGGGCAGCCAGTCCAACGTGCCTCCAGGTCCAGCACAGGCAGCAACCAACCATGGATCACTTTGTAGCTCCTACTATTGTAGGTAGTCCCTGGTCACAGGCAGTGGCTGGCCTAGGCCTGCATCGGAACCCCTCCCAAGAGACCCCAGAACCAACATACTTGGAGGTTGGCTTTAGACCACAGCAGAGCACCACCCAATTAGCCCCCTAGTGGCCGACCCAAATGAGCGATTTCAACAGGCACCAGAGCCCACTGGGGCAAATCCCACTCTGTGGGGTAAGTCCCCTGCACAGCAGCCCTATAAGCTATAGATGTGTTCAAACCCCACAGCCAATCAGCCTGAGGGGCAATCCCACCCACTGATGTTCCTACAGCAATCAAGGATCAACTACAACAGGAGGGCACACACAACCCACATAGGGAACACTCCTGGAGCACCCAGTACTGGTGACCAGGGAGACTCTACCACTTGGCCTCACAGGGCACCTACTACACAAGGCCACCTAGTGAGACTGGGAG